TTTAGGTAAAGATTATGCAACATGAATTAATTACCTAGTACTTGGTGAGAGTAAAAAAATTGGAAAGAGAAGAACATAGCCCTCCTTTTTTTTTTTACTCTTGGGATTTAAAAGCTTCCCTTGAGTACCATTCATTCCACCTAGGTTCCTCTTTTTGGGTCAAGGACAGACTTCATGGGAGGCAGGCACACAGGGTACCTGTAACTCTGCATTTTAAAACCGTATGGCATAATTTTCTTAGAACATGTGTTATAAATATATTTTCAAGTGGACATTTTTAGACTTGGTTAGAAACATAAAGGAGGGTTGAAAATTAAGCTGCTCTTTTCAGCTTGGACCTCTGGTAAGATAGTTTATGTTTTCTTTTTAAAAAAATTAATTTGCCTATTTATTTATTTTAAGCACACCCCCCCCCATCCCCCCCCACCCCCCTGCCGCCCCCTGCAACTGCCAGAGGGTACATGAGCTAGAAAGAGAATGGGCAAGCACTCCCTTTACTCCACCCCTGGGCTGTGGTCATGCTGCAGTCCTTTTTCCTCTCTTTTCCCATCATATCAAGATTCGGAGCACACATGCACATGTGCCTGGCACGCCTTTCAAGCTGCTAGGGATGGGATTTGAACCCTATATGTGATCTGGCTCCAGACGCATAATCCTCAACTGCTGTGCTATGGGGATGGCCTTACTTTTCCTAAAATTTAAAGACGAAGAAAAGAATCCAAAGCTGCCAAAGTTGCTCTGCTCAAAGAGATGATTCTGGGTCCCGTGAGCCAAACTTTGTGTGAAATGATACTGATCGGAGTGAAAATATTAATTCCAAATCCCGACCGTGTACCCTTTGAAAGTATCTAGGGGAAATAATTTAAGGTGCTTCTTAGGAAACAGAACTTTTCCATTGCAGGAACTTGACAAGTGGGTAGAAACAGTGGGAGTCCATTTTCGCCTTTACACCCCACATGGAAAAGGGATCTTGCTGCCTGGGTACCTTGAGCAAATAACTTAATAGCAGAATTCCATCGAAGTTCCACATGTGTGGAATAGGGTGATGACCTGCTGTGATAGCCTTGTTAGGGTTTTTACGGTAATTGTGGACTTCTCATCATTAAATGTCTCTAGTGCATTACTATTGGGGTCATCTGAAAAGCATGACATGTTTTTCTATGTAGAAATGTGTCCTGATTTTTGCGATGACCCAACACTTACATAGTGCCACATGGATACAGCAGGCCAAGAGCCTCCCATCTCTGCTGTCTGGCCTTTTACAGCCTTGGGTGGGACACCACGTGCACAAAATGTAGACCAGAGTAACTTCAGTGGATGCTTGGTGCGTATTTAATACTGACAGGGTAATTTTCTGGTGTATTTTGAGAATGGATGCTACAAGGTAAAGAAAGACCCCGTTAGTACAACACCAGAACCTCTCCCCCTACAAATCAGGTGTTCAGTGACTCCAGGCTGCTGGTTCTGGAGTCAGGTGAAGGAGCAGGGTCATGTGGTCATGCTGTTCATGGTGGTGAGCAGGCTATGCCTTTAAGAGACATACGGAGGTCAAAACAGGAATAGCCTCCAGTTGGGTAACCAAGGTCTTCTGTATCCTCAGTGCCCTGCACAGAGCAGTGTGTCACGTGCGTTTTCGCTTTGGGTATTCTTCAGGTGGTCTAATGGAAGGCTGCCTGCTACAGCTGGAGGGAGGTCAGGAGACTTGCGGTTAGCGCCTCTCTCAGGGTGGAGGCACCCAGCCCGTGCAGACTTCAACTTGCAGCCTGCCCTGCAGGAGGGGGCTTAGTACATTCTCTCATGTGTGTAAGTCAGAAATCTGTGCCCTTTAAAAGCTCTTGGGGCAGCCTCCTTAGTGCACGTACTGTGTTAACAGCCCTCGGTGCCTGCAGTCCCAGCATTAGTTATTCTCCTTCAGCTTGGGTTGTCGAGAAAGCCATGATGTGTGTTTTTTTTTTTTTAAAGAAATATTTTTATTTAACTTTTATTTCTTTTTCAATTTGACCAGAGAGAACAGAATAAAAGAGAGAGTGAGAGAGTGAGAGAGTGAGAGAGAGAGAGAGCGAGAGCGAGAGCGAGAGAGCAAGCAAGCCACCAGGTTCGGGACTCGAACTGAGGTCGACCATGTGGGAGTCCAGCGCCCTTAACCACCACGCCACCTGCTGGCCCCCACGAAGTGATTTTTTACATAGAAAAAATATGTCTGGGAACCAGCAGATGGTGTAATGGCCACATTGCTGAACTCCCACGTAGTCGATGACAGTTCGAGTCCCAGACCTGGGGGCTTAAAACTCGAGCTGGGTGCATGTGCATGGGTACCCAAGATCCCGAGAGGAGAATGGAGGAGAAGGGATGGTGGTGTGGCCATCTCCCCTGGGTGGTGATTTCTCGCTTTCTGTCTCTGTCTGTCTGGCGAGCACACGCACCCTATAGCAAAAATCTCTCTTTAAAAAAAAAAAGAAAATATATGTCACTACTTTTTCAACAACACAGTATTTTGCTAGCTACTTCGGTTCCTTACACAGAAATGACCCATCTTAGCTTATAGACTATTACTTCTGTTACTTTTCAAATTTGGAGGTTCTTTTTTTTTTAATAATAATTAGAGAAGTATATTACTTTTATATCCACTGCCTTCTCTCATATTGATCGTGTCCATCAAAATTAAAGTGGGTCTAAATTGACTAGCTTTGAAGTGGTTGCCATCTGAATTAGAGAGAGAGGGCAGGGACCCAGCATGGGCTTTGGTGGGTGGAATGAGGAGGAAGCCCAGCTGAGAACGCACTGAGGTCCTGGTCTGCCCTTGTCTGCAGCCTGCCTCATGGTGGAACCAGACCGCGGTGGGTCCTAGGCATCTTAGGAAGCTCAGAGAAAGTAAGCAGTTTTCCCAAGGAAATACCTCCGAGGGAGGCAGGAGAGGAATGATAGCCGAAGGCTGCCCGAATTCCAGATTGAAGTTCTCCAGTTCAGTGTGTGTGTGTGTGTGTGTGTGTGTGTGTGTGTGTGTGTGTGTTTAAAGAAAGGGAGGAATTCTTAGTAAATTGTCCAATTTAGGTTGAAATTTAAAATGGCCCTACTTTGGCAATGCATTATGTGTTCATGAAGACGAATGCTTTTGTATGGTCTGGCCTCTGTCGCAAAAATAATTGATTAGTTGTTAGGTCTTGATTCTGCAATTCCTTAGTAAGGGAAACTCATGTTCTGTATAAAGCAAACACCGAGAAATTCACAGGTCTCAGCTTTTATGCCACTGTCAAACTGCTAAATCTCGACAATACACACTTGCAGCCTGGAGCTCAGGCCTAGAGGGAAGCTGCGATCATTTTCCGGTTCTCCTTATGGCTCTGTTTATGTTAAGACTTGCCGGGGTGGGGTGGGGGGATATAGTGTGTAAACATCTGGACAGGCTTTGATTAGACCCATGGCTTTTCTGGATCTGTAGGGATCTTAGATTACCACATCCGATTCTTAGTAGGCCCTCCTCTCCTCCGCATTTACTCAGCATATTCCCAGCACAACTTATTTCCCATCTTGAGAAGAGAGAGCCAGGACCACTCTCTCCCATCATTAGTTTCTGTCAGCTAGAAATTTGCTTTCCGATGCGGAAATAAACCCACTGCAGGAAGAGTGCTGATTAGGTGCTAAGACAATGATCTTTGTATTAATGTTGCTCACGTGGAAAGTATCAGGGGATTACTTAAATGATATCCTTTTTGGTTCTACTCTTTCTTCTTGAGCTCTAGAAAAATCGTAATTTGGCTTTATGACTGTGTAGCCTGTAAAGCCGTAGGCGCTGCCTGATACTGTCACTGAGGGAAACGGGGTCCAGTCACATTGTATTCCTGGGTTGGCCTTGACCACTGGCCACGTGTCTCACACACATCTTTGTGTTCGGTTTTGTACATGATAACGCCATGAAGGGGACACCACCATCATCCCCTTCGGACAGACAGGAGCCGAGGCACCCCAAGCTGTGACTTGCCCAGGTCACATTTACTCTTTGTAATGGTTGTAATAAGATGTCACTTTCCTGTAGTGACTCTGTCCAGGTTGCAATTTGCGTTCCTGCATAAATTCTGCAGAATAAGTGAAGTGCTTTCCTTAGGTTCGAAGTTCTGCAGTTCACAATTCTTTTTATCATGAGGCAACCAGAGAGACAGGCTCTTGGAAACCATGGAGATGGCCTTTCTGCTTGCCTTTCATGCAGAAGGACCATTTCCCACAAAGCCCTTAAATAATTTGTGCTCTGGATATCTGGGTGGCTCTTCATTATTGCCCTGAGAAATAAACAGCAAGGCATCCCAAGAGTGGACAGAGAGGAACAGTAGTGGTAATAATTAAAACCCACTACTCCTCATCTGGTTGAAAGGAGAGTGATAATCAAATTAGTTTGGAACGTCTAATGATGTAAGTGGGTTACAAATATTAGGTTCTGTGTCAGGAATTACAGCAGTGGGGAAACTATCCCCCCACGAGTCTCTACATAAACTCTCTTTATTGTTCTCTGGCCTCCTTAGTTGGGACTGCAAGAAAGCTTCCAAGAAGGTGCTCAGTGTAACTCTTGTGAAATTAACGGGCATTGGGAGTGCATCAGGGAAAGATTACTGCACTGTTTTTTGACAATAAAAATAAAAACCTAGCGTTGTCTTGAGGAGGTATTATTTTTTTTTCATGCGGACTGTTGTGAAGGAAAGGGTGGTCATCCTGATGTGTAGAAGAAAGCTTTCAAGTTGCTTTGTGATGATGATGAGTAAGTTAAACCCATGAAAGAACTGACGCTTTATCAGATCTCTTTGGTTCTATTACTTGTCCTGTTTATGACACGTGGCTCACTGGTGTTATAAGCCATACTGTTCTGATGGTGAGCACAGGACTGTTTCATCACTTTGGCCTGATACAAGTGTAAAAGACATGTGACTTATTGGAAATGTCAGCCATTCTGCTCTAATGACTGTGTACAACGTTGGTGCTCATTGATTCTCTTTTTCCCTCTTGTTTTTCAGGGTCGACATGTCAAAACGGGTCAGCTGGCGGCCATCAAAGTTATGGATGTCACCGAGGTAAGGCTAGGTCATACATGATTTTAAAGAACTCATTAGATACAAGGTGAGGTTCTCCCACAGCATAAGAGCGTTGTTCTGTTGAGAGAGTCTGGTCACTTGACCCAGTTGCCCTCTGTGACGTTGAAGTCCATAGTCCAGCAAACCATTTGGCTTAAGTTGTTGCAGCAGATGGTCCCCAAATAACTAAGGATCAGTAGCATTTATTTAAAAAAAAATAAGAAAAAAATAAGAAAGAAAAGACAAACAAATCTGAGTGATGTCATTCTTGGCAACATAAGGGACTGTAATTGGAAACATCTTCTCTAATGGACAAGAAGAGATTGCAGAGGGGATCCTGGAGGTCGTATGCCTAGGGAGATTGAGGGGGTGGGTGGAGAAAAGCTTCTCTGGGGTATTAGGCCACATTTGAGCCATTTCTTTTATTTTTAACATGGGAGAAGAAAACAGTTCCAGCCAAGTTCCCAGGGGTTGGAAAACAGAAACATCTGTGAAAATGCTGAGTAGATTGTTGGCAAAATTTAGTAGCAAAAAGTAGTTCTTGAAATAGTTGCACAAGGATTTACTGTGCAGCACTAGATGGGAAAGAGAACTTAACCAAAAGAGAACTTAACAAAAAGTAAGAGTGTGTGTGTGTGTGTGTGTGTGTGTGTGTGTGTGTGTGTGTGTGTGTGTGTGTGTGTGTGTGTGTGTGTGTGTGTGTGTGTGTGTGTGTGTGTGTGTGTACATCTGCCCCATAGGACACATCTGCCCTATAGGTGTGCATACATGAACGAGTGGGACTATATGTAAATTTAAAAAAAGCCATAGATTATAATGAATGAAATCCACCTTAAACTATTTTTATCTGAAATTTTACTTGATGCTATCATGATTGCTTCTAACTTGCCTAATTATGAATAGGATTTAACACCATGTTTTACAGACTCTAGAAAGAGTTGACCAGCAGGCTTGGGGATTTGGGATAGCTTTAAATCAAGCCATATTTTCCCCATATCTGAGGCCTCTGGACAGAGATAATGGCTAAACAATCTCAGGTGTGCCTTCTGGGAATCTGGAGTGGCCTCCTCTGTTCTGCTCTCTGTTTGGTCTCTAGTGTGAGTACTTGTCAGTGAGAATGAGAAGACATTGTTGTCTCTGGACCAGAGGACAACTGATAGAGCCTTCTACATGTATGTGAAGATGTGACATTTTATAAGATGACTGCTTATTCTCTGTCAAAGAGGATAATGGAGGCATTTTATGGGGGGAGAACAGTGAGATAGCTTGGTTGATTCTTGTATGACATGATATGGACCATTCATATCACCTTATAGTGATCCTGTCTTGGCTTACAACTCAGTGGGAAATTGGATGCTTTCATTTAAACAATATTTTAAAGAGTTGCAGGTTCTAGTTTATGGTATTTAAATGCCTTGGTCAACTTACTTATAAAGTCCTCTTTTGTTGAGTGGAATAAGAGTGACCCCTTCCTCCCAGAGTCTCCACTCACTGCTGTGCTTATGCCAGGGCTGCTTGGGGAAATGGCATCTTTGAATCTTTGGCCTTTGCATATTTATAAGGACGTTTCTTAACTTTTTTCCTGGTGGACTTATGGGTACCGTTTTAAATGCAGTCTTTAGGATTTTATGAACTGGGAGTTCCAAATCTTTCCTTGGTAACCTTCAGCCTGTGCTGCCTTCCTGACACAGCCCCTCCACGACCAGCCAGGATCTGCTCCCGGTCACATCTGAGCTGGGATCTAAATGGCTGTCTTCTCTGAAGAGGTCTGTTTCACCTAAGCCTGGCTCTGATTACAAATGTCCCATGTAGTATTACTGTTAAAAAGAAAAAACGTGCAGAATACAGGGCTAGTCCTATAGCCCAGTGGTTAAGGGAGCTGAGCTGGATTTCACGTGGCCAGCTGCAGTTTGAATCCCAGTGACTTGAAAAATACGCCGTGTGTGTGTGTGTGTGTGTGTGTGTGTGTCTGAAAGCATGCCCAGAATCCCAGTAGGATGGAGCAATGGAGAAAGGATTATGGCATGGCCACCCCTCCTTGGCGATAACCCCCTCCTCAGCAAGTGCACCTGCCATCTAGCACTTAAAAGGAATATATAGGAAAATATAAAGAAAAAGTGAAGTCTTTATATATCCACTGCTTTTTCATTCATGTCTCCTTGAGCATTGCTAATAGAATAGACATGTACTAACTTGTGTAATAGATGCTCTCTATTCCATTTTTGTTGAGTTGTTGACAAAGGCATTTTCTTGCCTAAAATATCAGGCAATGTTAGACAAATGGATGGTAATATTTTCAGGATTCCTTTAAAAATAATTAATGCGGGACCACCCGTTGGCATAATGACTATGTCACTGGACTCCCATGTAGTCGACCAGGGTTTGAGTCCTGGACCTGGTGGCTTAAACTCACACCAGGTGTGTGTGTGTGCGTGCCCAAGATCCCAAGGGGAGAATGAAGGAGAAGGGATTGTGGCGTGGCCATCTCCCCTGGGGGGTGATTTCTCGCTTTCTGTCTCTCTGTCTGTCTCTTTCTGGGAGCATACGTGCCCTATAGCAAAACACCTCAATTGTACCCTAAAGCAAAACCCCCCCCCCCCCAAAAAAAAATTAATGTAAAACCTATGTAATCAGGTGAAATCTAAACCAGATAGTGAGTCTTCAAAAATACCCTGAACAGCCATTTAACAAATGGGCCTCTTTCTTAGTGATATTTCTTTTGTGCTGTTTTTAGGCAGTGAGTCTGCTCTAGTGTAGGGCAGTCAGGACCCAGAATAAGTGTTGACCGTGGACAGAGTCAGCACTCACTACTGTGTGCAGCGCGGCCTACCCACTGCATCAGGGCCTCCTCCAATTCTTTTGTGAGGTTGTGGACTTTGGCCTGGCTGGGATGTGGGGCAGGAAGGAGCAGATATGTGAGGGAGAGTTGGCAGCTGGTGCTTCTGGTTTCAAGTCTGGAGAGAGTTCTCTCTCTCTCTTTTTATAAAATTACTCATTTAATTTTATTTATTATTATCAATTTTCAATATAATCAGAGAGAGAGAGAGAGAGGGTGGGAGGGAGGGAGGGAGAGAGAGAGGGAGGGAGGGAGAGGGAGAGGA